TTGGTAGAGGAGGTAGTAGAGGAGATACTTCTGCAAGTCCTGTGTGGTCACTGCAGCCATTCACCACGTCCTCTCACCTCCTCTCCACACACCTCACCTTTTATACGCATGGTGGATGGAGAGGACAAACACGTCTCACCAACTCGATGACGCCGTGTCTTATCCAGTGGTTGGATCGTTGGTTGGTTGGTTGGTTAACTGGTTGGATGGTGTGGTTGTGAGGTGGTGGTAACTCGTGATGAGCATGTGCTCATTGCCATGCACCAACCAACCAATCAACTAACCAACCAGCCAACTGACGAGCAAGAGGAGATGTGCGCAATTCGATGGGAAGCGCAGCAAAAATGTGCGAGGAATAGCAGTGGCAACTCAACCAGTGACCACCACCGACTTGTAGTTCTACCTCCTCTACCATCAGTTCACGAACTGGAAACTGGACTGATGGGATGCGTTGATGGAAGTAAAGCCTCCCTGTGCTCGCACACTCACCTCGTTACCTAATATCGGTTGTGCGATCGACAAGGTTTGGTTCTTTATAAAATGGCAAATAAAAGACTGCGAAATTGTGTCACCTTCTTCCACTTCACCAACTGCACCGTGACTTGGCGATTGCTCTTGTTAGATGTACTAGGCGGACTAGCAAATTTGGCTCATAAAATTGAATTTTCCAAGTACCAGCACTTCCTCATACCAGTAGAGGTTGGAGGCGATGGTCTGTGCAAACACGGCGAGCTATTGCTGAACCCTGGATGGCGTGATGTTCTAACCAGCTATCAGGGTTGTGATACTTATTGAGGTTTGTAAAACGTCCATTCCAACAATCCACCCCTCAACCACCTTCCATTTGGCCTTCAGATCACCAATAACTATAAGTTTCTGCGGATAAAAATTCTCCAATTGTTTGACTTGACGAGTGAAGTAGAAGTGTGATGGCGGTAGGTTGAAGGTTATTAGAAACGATTGCAACTGCCAGTGTTCATTAACAAGATAAGAGTGATGTCGATGTGAAGTGAATTCAAAAATTAGGAACTGACTATGATGTGAAGGCGACTGTAGCAATTGATGGGAATCTGCTGTCTGGAGGCGAAACAAAAAGGGAAAGCACATTTCTCGTGAGATGTTCGTGTAGGAGATAAGAAAACCGCCTTTCAGAATTAGCACGCGCAAAAAAATTTTATTTTTTTATTCCTTCAGCTGCGTGAGTCTTTCGATCTCCGTGGTTTCGGATTCCGGAATTATGACGTAGAACCCCAGTGACCATTAAAACCTAGAAATTCAACAGTAAGTCTACTGATGAAATTTAAGTAGCAGGGCACACATTGGTAGAGGCAGATAATCAGTAAACGCAGACATCTCGAAAGGTGGTTTTCTTGTCTTTCATGTGAATATCGCATGCAAAATGAACTTTTGCGTTTTATCTTGCCTTTAGACAACAGAGACCCTTCAATTAATACACCTAGCACTATATCAGTGTCTCTCCGTGATTTGTAATTTCACTTCCCAACAAAAAAATCAGCCTCATCTTGGCGGTAAATACTGGCAGTTGCAAAGTACTAGTTAGCCGCAATCTCCTTCAATTACCTTCCACTTAACCACAGTCCACTTCCACCTTGTAGTTCGCGTCAGATAATTAAGGAGCTTTAAGCCTTAGATACACACTCAGATTTACCACTAGTTTCCCCAGATTAAGCACAACAACCTCAGCTTGCTTGAAAAATGCAGGCACCCGGAATACCCAGTTTCATAAACCAACTGTAGGATCCTGTGTGGGGAAATGAACAAAAGTAATGCGAAAGAACTTGATGCGCAACACCCCTTTAATCCGCAATTTGGAGAGAGCTAACCGTCAGTTCACAGACAACAATATTAGGCAACACTTTATTTAGCTTCACGTTAAAAATCACATATTGTTCACCCACAGTCCGCTTTATTATGCGAGCACAGAGAAGCTTCAACTCCATCCACTACGACAGTGTCTACACCGGCAACAATTCATAAGCTGACAG